AATGTAAAACTAAAGTTCTCTCATGTAAACTATCATATAATTCACAATAAAACATTAAAAAAAAAAAAAAAGGGAATAGAAGCAAATACTGTTAGCTGATAGTGCATGGCGGGGATTTTAACCTTCGCAAGGAAACAAATTAGGATTGTTGAGTGCAAAACCGGTGTTCTGCCACGTAAACTACAACTCAGTTCACAATAAAAGCTTAAAAAAAAATTACAGTTCATACAAATGTCATCTCCCAAACACCCCCAGAGAACACGTCTCAAGAGTTACTTTTGAAGGAAGGGAAGTTCCCTGACCCTACAACAATGACTACAATGTAGTATTGTGCTGTTTTGTTTGACTTTATTTATAATCTAGACGGATCCTACAGTGATTCATCCCAGGGCTGATGATGGAAATAGTGTATATGGGATGAGTCACCGCATGCAGGATGGCAGCTGACAGCTGGATCAAACCTCGATTTTCTGTCAAATCTTTGTAAACTTTTACTCCCTAGGTTAGCATACATCTTAAAAATGAAAAAAACTATAGACTAGAAATGGGGAAACTCAGCCTTCTCAGAAACATGGAGCTGTTAGAGAGCTCGTTAGCCATCATCTCTGGAGTTTCTAACTCACCGTTGCTCATCTGGGCTATGATCTGCAGAAATCCCTGTCTGGTTCTCACCTGGAATGGTCTCTTGGTGAATCTCCATCAGCCATGGTGCTTCATCTTTCTCCAAGCGGAGTATCACTTCTGGTTTGGGAAACTGAAGCCCTAGTCACAAGAAAAGACAAAGACCTGGGCAAGGGTAGAGGGAGATCCAGGTGCAAACAACAGAGCATCCAGGACTCAAGTCCAACTTTTTGGTCTCAGGGATTATGAAGAGTAGGCTAGGGGAAGTCCAGAGATAACAAAAGAAATACATACTTCATAAATTTGACAAAATAAAATCATTTTTTTCATAAAAGCAGATGGAGTATAATAAAAGCCCTGACTTTTGGCCCAAAGTCCCTGATTTCCGAGCCTGAACTCTGAAACATGCCTCAAGACAGCTACACTGTTCATCAACAAAGACACAAACTCTTCACAGTAACTAGATCTTCCTTCTAAAAGAGAAGTGACTCTTACCCAAGAAAACCAGGTTCTTATAGTTCTCGAGCATCACCCGCTTGTACAGGATCTGCTGAGCTGTGCTCAGGAGCGTCCACTCCTCCTCGGTGAAGTCCACAAGCACATCCTTGAAGGTCACCAGAGTCTATAAAACACCAAATAAATATGGAGCCAGGTGTTATCTCTGCCTACACTGACTACTGACAGGATGAGAGAGCAGGCTGGTAGCACTGGGATGGGGAAAGAGGATGAACTCAAATGTAAGAGGAGTAGTCAGTATTGTGCCATAGGGTACGCACTGGACTGCTAACTATAAGGCTGGCAATTCAAACCCATCACCCACTCCCTTGGAAACCCTATGCAGGGTGGATATGATTTGGAACCAACTTGACAGCATGTGGCCAACTTTTAAAAGGAATGGCTACTATGTATCTTTGGTCAAATAACAAGTTTCATGTTATAATTTAGATGTAGAAACGGTCCAAAGTCCTTTCATTTAAACCAAGCTTGACTATGTATATGTATATATATACATACATACATACATACATACATACATACATACATACATACATCAGGGTATTCAGACACACAAAGGTAAGCTATTCTTACAGCATGTGAAATATAATTAAGAAAAGAGGAATCAAAGTCTTCAAAGTAGTTCCATCTTAAGGAATTAATGCTTAAGAGACTTACATCCCTAGTCACATTTTATGATCTGAAATATACACATTAGTCATGTATTATGACCTAAAATACCCAAAAATTTTTCACAAACATTGTTAGTCAAAAATAAATAAATTAATCAGAAGCTAAAAGATATTTTAGTAGTATAAAACAACTGAGCAAAGAAATGCATTAATATAGATGTAAAAAAAACCTTTGTTAGTCTCATCAAAAAGGAGAATTGGTTACAAAGAGGGAAAAAAATAAAAGACGATACTAGAATGACAAGATTTGTCATCAAATTCAGTAGAGATCAAAAGACAGGAGAATAATAGTTTGGGAAGTACTGAAAGAAAAGAACTGTCAACCCAGAATTTCTACAACCAATGAAGATACACTTCAGGAATTATGCAAAAGAAACACATTCTCAAGCGGCAACATGGCGGCAGTGCGGTTCTGGAGACGCTCTAGACACCAAGAGTGGGAAGGCCCCGATGGCTCAGCTCATCCATCCAGCTCGGGAGAAACTGACACCCGCCCAGCTGCAAATCGTGAGGCAGGAGCAACTCGCCCAGTGGCAGAAGACGCTGCCACAACCATGGACCCGTGTTGCAGACCGTGTAAGACTAATCAGAGGTTCGAGGCCCGCTAGGGCC